CCACTCGAGGTGGCATGTAATCTGTTAAGGTGACTACTGATTATTTGTAACTAGTAGCTTGATTTATTGGCTATGTTGTGAAGATTCGTCATAGTTAAACTCAGGCAGACACACACCCCAAATCCAGGAAAGCACCAAGCCGCTGTCTCATCCCAATAAGGACACACGCTTTCCTGCATGTGTGGCGGCTCGCTGCTAAAGTTTAACTGTGACGTTCAGCAGTGTATGAAAGGTTAAGTGCCACAACTGCAAAACGTCCTCAAATTGTGTATAGACGGCACCTTTCACACTATCCTTCAATGTCTTCATGGGCAGCACCTTGGGTCGGTAAACTGCTCACTTCTCGCTCTCTGAACTCTCTCTCTTTGCCCGGGGTGCTGACTTCCGGGCATGCGAAACCTCACTCTATCGCACCGCAAACGACGTTCTTCGTTCCACGTTTATTCAACTCTCCTGCTCTTGGCAACTGGACTTCAATTTGGAGTCTCTAAAAGTTCATTGCAAATAAAAACAAATCTCTGGCCTCAATGAACCGCTTAAAACCGATCGTACACATTCCAATAAGAACAGCGGGGTTTTTATTGCACCCCACTCGCTCTTCAAGCTAGCTACGTTCAATGTTCGAACGCTCACGCAGATTAATTGACAAGCTCCTCCTGCACGAATCTTGGAAACCCTCTCAATCGACGTTTACTGCCTAACCGAAACCCGTTTACAAGACTCCAGCACAACTCTGCGATTGCTCTCACCCTCCCCAAGTTACAATTGCACATTCACCTTGCGCTTATCTGGAGATGCGAGAGCGGCAGCCGCTGGTTGCGCCGGCGTAAGAGTTGCGTTTAGCGTGCGTCTTGTGGCAGCGCTCATTGACTGGTGCCCTGGCAACAGTCGTCTTTGTGCAGTCCGCTTGGAAAGCTCATTGCGATCTTCCAGCCACGGGACCAGTAGGCGTTGCCCATTCATTGTGGCGGCGTACGCTCCCACTGACGGCAGCCCGGACGAAGCTAAAGATAAGTTCTGCCGCTAACTCACCGATCTCCTCCGCAAGAAACGCCTCACGGACATCGTGATACTCGCCGGTCGGTAGACTAGAGGTTCATGAGCGCGAACTTGGGGGTCAAAACAGCCACGGTACTCGCATTACGGACAACGGCGATCGACTCCTGCGACTGTGCGCCGACCACGGCTTGTTCCTCTCTAGCACCAACTTCCGACGTTCCTGGCGACCTCCGGCCGCTAGTCAATCTTGGACGCAAATTGACCACATCGCTGTTGGTTACCGTTGGCGTGGCTGCATAACGGACTGCAAGTCAATATGGAACACTTACCTGACTTCGGACCATGCGCTCGTGTGTGCTAAGTTCATTCTGCTCTTTCGAGGCAGCCAACAGCGTCGCCGGTAACGGTTTGACACAGACAAGCTCGCCGTCCCAAATGTTATCGGGGCATTTCAGAGCACATTAGCCTCCAACCTACGTTCTCTATCCTCCGACATTAGGACACACTGGGTACGGATCCAGAGCGCCTTAGGAAAGTCCGCTACCCTTGTATGTGGCTTCACTAGACTAGCTGTTAGTCATTGGATCCCCGCACAGTCTCTCAAATTAATGGAAACTTCTCGAACAATTCCTGCCGGAGTTGAGTACAACGCACTACCCAGAACCACAGGTGCTGAGCTCAGACAGCTCCTCAGGAAGGATCGCGAGATTTCTTGGACACGGCGCGTCGTTGAGATGGAGCGGGCAGCCTCATTAGGAAACTCCTGCAGACTCTTCCAAGTTGTTTGTTCCACCGGAGGCAGTAGACCAACATTTATTGCGGTTTTGTGTCATCTGATACGATGGGCAGAGCACTTTGAAGATAAATTCAACTGGCCAGCAG